GCCCTTCTCTAGTAGTTCCATCAACATCTTCCATAGTACTAGGAGTTCCCTATGTAACATGCTATAGAGCAGTCCCCATAGTAGTTCTATTAGTTTCCCTTTCTTATCCTTAACTAGTTTGATTCAATGGTTAACTCTAGGATGGTGTGGTAGTAGCTTATCAGCCTTCCCCCTATTAAATACTTCTAGGAACTCATGGTAATGCACTGGCAGCTTTATAGCTAGGTTAGTATGCTTCTTAACCTGCAAGGCCTTCTTAATATCCTTAATACTAGTAGCAAAGATCTATATAGTCCTGTCCTTTCTCCACTGTCAGTTATAAATAGTGAATCCCTAAGCACTAATCTGCCTCACTGCTAGTTTCAGCTTATTCTTTATGCTCTCTACTATAAACCCATCTACAAGCCTTAGCCAGGGTCCCTCAGCCTCTACTACTACTCTCTAATCCCTCATCCATGGGATTCCCAAGATCAAATCAGTGCCTTCGCCTAGCTCAGGCACCACGTAGGTGTAGACCAGGTGTTAGTAGTTACCACCAACATCTAGGGAGAATCAGATAATTATTAAAATAACACTTCCTGTAGTGCTGGTGTAGTTCTCTAGGTGAATTAGTTTAATCTTAATCTACTCTAGTTATAGCTTCTAGGTAAAGTGTTCAGCCATAACCACATAAGATGTGTATTTAGTGTCAGGAAGGATTCTATAATTACATTCCTTATTAATAATACCTAATATAATGAATTTAGGAGCATTAAATCTGATAGCTCACCAGAACTGTCTATAACCAGCAAGTACATCTTCTTCCTTAGGGTATAGGTAACACCAGCTCTTTAGCTACATTAACTATTTAACTAGCCCCTATAAGAGTCTTTTCATAGGAGTAACTAGTTTTCTAACTCACTTACTTCATCATCCTCAAGTAGGGGTCTAATAGCTTAAGAAGTGCGCAGTAGCTTTAGCTCTTTGCTCTACAGGGGAATGGCTCCCAGGTACTAGCAGCCTTTAATTATATAGTCTAATGCCCCACAGTGTAAGCATCTTCCTTCACTGCAATAACAGGATAACTCATTTTCATCAACCCATTTAGCATGATACTACTAGTGAGCTAAGGTTACAGAGGAAGGCTCCCAGTCCATAGCATCATTAGGGTTCATTATAGCTGAGGTAGGGTTCACCCAGGGCGTAGGAATGTAGGCGATATAACTATAATTAGTAGTCTGCATATTCCTCCTACACTAATTAGAGCAGCTAGTTCCCCTTACATGTAGGGCTTCTACTTAGTTAGCTACTTATTATACTTAGTGGCAGTAGTCTGTGAAGGTCTCTTCCTTCTTAACACTAGTAAGTGCTTCCTCTACCTCATAGCTTAGAGTGCTGTCTAGATAGTTCTTCTTCACTTCATCAGACTAAGAATAGCCTCCAGCTTCCATTAGCAGTTAGTTTAGGTCCGCTAACAGCTCATTAAATGGGTGGCTGCCTTAGTGTAGGGTTCATAATTCTCACAGGGCCTTCTCACTTCTGCCCCAGTCAAGGAACATAAGACTAAGTTAGTTATATAAGCTATTTAACATTACTTAAGTTATATTTGGATTGTTTCCATACTAATCCATCTAGGGGGCTAAGGCTGCAGCAGCATTTCCTTTAAGTCTGCTAAATGCATACTATAAGCACCCATAGAAGGAACTAATTGTGGCTTGGTTAAGTAATAGCTTCGCCTGTAGCTTAGCACAAAAGGTCTGGTACACAGCCTTATTAGAGCCGTCGTATATCTCCACATCAGGTAGTGTGGGCTTAGGTCTTTTCATTAGGTCTTCCACTAAGGTAGCCAGTAGGGTCGTCTGGGGAGTAGGTACTGCTATGGTGGTGGTCATTTGCTATTCTTCAAGTTAAGCCATTCAATTAGTGATGTTCTATAACTGCTGGGCTATTTAGGCCATGAGATTTGTCTACATATCATTCTACTGTGACAGTCGTTCTTCACTAGGTCCTTTAGGGGATGTTAACATCTGTGATAACACATTATTATAGCTCATGCCGTCTGTATCGCTTGTCTGGTTTGTTCATCTGGTTCATCTGGTTCGTCTGGTTCGTCTGGTTCGTCTGGTTCGTCTGGTTCGTCTGGTTTGTCTAGTTCATCTAGAGGTGCTGAGCGATTTCTAATGTCACAGGCTAGAAGCCAGTTCAACCTATGACCTAGGTTTGGATGGTAAGAAATCACTAAGGAAGAAATCTAGCTAGGGCCGCAGCAGCAGAACATAAAAGGAGTGTGCGAATGGTTCCCTCAGTCACATGACCGAGTAGATTACTACATTGATTAGTACGAGGTCACGTGACCTGCAGCTGGTGTCCAGTTTGGATGCGACTTCGCGAGGGCCGTACGGTTTGATCGAACAGCCCGAGCACCCAGCGGGCCCTGCCCGCTACAATAATACTGGTGTTGTTATAATTATCTCTACTAATTATAGTACTAAGCTCCTTTATAGCTTATATTTATTTTCTATCCCCCTGCTTACCCTTCCTGGGTGGTTATTTATAGGTTCTGGATATATATCCTAACTTCCTACACTAGAAATATAGTTTCTCTTTTTATTACTATTCTCTCTCTTTATTTAAGAGTACTGTATGTGTTATATCTAATTCTATTAGTTATAGTCTATAAGGATCTAAGTATCCTTAGCTTCATGGCTAAGCTAGCCTCCTATTATTCACTTAATAGTTTATAGTATATCTATTACTAAAGCTGTTCCAGTTACTTCACTCCCTTTTATGCATATTAAAGTCTTGTAGTTTATTATTAGTCTTAACTACTTACTTAATCATCTTACTAAGTATATTAGGTTGTTCTATCTAGATTAACTTTTCCTGAACCTCTGGTTTTAACCCTTCTTTAAATTATGCAATATTCATATCCTTATCCTAATTTAGATAGGATATGATCTGTTAGAATTATGATATATATTCCCTAATAGATCCTATCTGCTTAAGTTGCCATAGTTATTACTTAGTGTTTCTTTCCTTATTAATATTACTAAAAGTTCTTTTAAGTCATTTCTTGAATTTAGTGTAGCTGGTGAATATAGCTTACATCTTATTATCTTATAAGTCTACAGAGTGTTCTTAATGATCTCTAATAAAGGGTTTAAACCAGTCAAAGGCTGGTCCTATTAAGTAAGTAGTTATAAATAAAACTTTATCTACCTTATTAGCAAGTTTCTCTCTGTTTATCTAGATATATATATCTAGTTATATAAGAAAGGCTCTTAGCTTAGATTAATTTCCATTAAATGGTTCTGGTGGTCAGATCTTAATAGATTTAACTACTAGTCATCTACTTAGAGTTTCATTCTGTTGCTCTAGTTATTAGATGTGTTCTTAGAGCTATTTAATCATGCCTACCAGACCTTCTACTATAATCTAGGGCTGTGCAGCCACTTGCTACTATAGAGTTCCTACCTAACTAATATTTAAGCTAGTAGGGGTTAGTGTATTTCCTACTATAATATTTGATGTTAAGAGTTAATCAAACTTCCCAAAGTAATTTATACTGTATAGTATTTAATTTATTACACCCTAGGATCTATCTCTACTATTCTCTACTAGTTAACTACTTTAGGAATGGGCTGATATAGTCCCTGGACTATATCTAATACTTACCTAAGGCCTACTAACTAGGTAGCCTAATAATGTAATAATATAATGATCTAAATAGGATTAAGGATAACCAAAGGTAATATAAGAATAATAATAGTAGAGATAGAAGCAAGGCCTATTAAGTATATATACTTAATAGTAAAAGAGTAACTAATGAATCGGACTAGTGAACTTATACTTAAATGAATAACTTATATTAAATATAAGGAACTAAGCTAAGAGTGCTAGATATAATAATAATAAACATCCTTATATATCCATAGTTCCTCTTAATAGTATACCGAATGGTATGTTCCAAGTATAAAGGTGGTAGATTATATACTCTTGTTCTGAGGTCTTAGCATACTATTTATATACCACTTCATCACGTGCTCGTGGTTATAGAATAACTGTTCAGTTATATCCTACTGTGTGGTTTTTCTATAAGGATCCATCTAGATTAAGCGTTTCTCCAGATCACTCCGTGATCCTTCCCGGATTAATTGGTGATCGACGATCCCCTTTGATTCTGCCCGTCACATCCGCCTTGCGCTAACGCGGCTGTGTTGGTGTCGTAACACACCCCTCATTGAATTTCAACCTATTTAAATCCTAAAGCTATCCAAATCAAACAAAATGCCATCAAAACCGCGTCACATCTCTCAATATTTGGTGGAGTAAGAGGGAAGGCTTTAGTTAGTAATATCTACCTTGAAAAAGAATGAAATTTCAAGCATTTGCCGCGCTGCAGAGATATTCAATATTCCCCAATCTACCCTCTATGGCTGACTGAATGGACGCTAATATCAAATTAAAAAAATACACTAATAGCTACCAGCTATCCGTGCACGGAGCGGTGAGGGTGAGCCTAGGGCATGTATCTCCTACACAGGAAGAATCATTAGTGGAATGGATACTATCCAGGAATCTGTGCAGAGTGCCCCCTTGGCCATCTTATGTGTAGGAAAGAGCTAATATCCTTCTCTAAGCAGACAATCCCTCTGAATTTAAACCTATTAGTAAGAACTAGGTGTCTACCTTTATTAATTAATGTGAGGCGAACAAAACTTAATATGCTAATATAACTATAGTTAAGCTTAATATAAGGATCTAAGGGTTATTAAGAGGTGGTTTACCTATAATAGATCTAAATATAATATAGCATCTCCTATGAAGATATCTATAAGTGTTTGAGAATTAAATTAGTGGCTAAACCCCAAAATACCGGAAAGGGCCGCAATTTAAGAGGGCCGTTACTAATTAGGTTTCACAACAAGTTTGAGCAGCTATCAGTTCAATTTAGCAACAATCTAAACTTTGTGTTTCCTGCGTTGACCTTTGCTCCTCTTTCTTGTTCAAGGGGACTCGGTTCAGAGAAGACCTAAGTCTTCACGTCTGCTGGTACTCTTTGGGTCAAGGTAGGGACGTTCTCCTACCCCCATAGCCCTGTGCCCAGTCCGCCGGTCATTGATATCAATGTCTTTAGTGGCCGCATGGAATACACATCGATTGTCCCAAAGTGCTGACCCACCATTTGTTAACTTCACGGTGTCTGCCGTAATGGTAGTGCTTCAAGAACTTACCGACATCGTTCCGGTTCTGCCATCTGTATCTCACCTGCAAGTCATGGTTTTCCGTAATTAGCCAAGTAAACCATTGCAGGATGCTATCGCTCTCCTCTTTCTGTAAGCTGTTGATACACTGCACATGATTTCCAACTGCGAATAAGCTCTTCCAGCCGGTAACAGGGTTCGTGCGGATCACGGGATGAACGGCGACAAAGTTGGATCCTACGTTTTCGGGGGATCCTCTCGGTTGGGTGTATAGCTGGTGATCAAACTGTCTTGCGACGTTGTCATAGCTGGGTTGGGCGAAAGTTGCGGTTAGGCCCTCAAGGAACTTTTGGTACGGCTTCGAGATGCGATCATAGAGCTCATACCCAGAAGCCCAAAGCGTATCTGGGTTGAGGATTCGTCAAGTCAATTTGAAAATTCCTCGGTCTGGAAACAAAGCAAGGTGTGCGCGGGCACAGGTACAGGTCAAGGAACTAAGCACTTACCTCCACCCCCGCCCTTTGGTAAGTCAATGAGGCGCAGCATGGCATAGTCACTCGGGATAATTTCATGCGTAATATCAGTGTGCCATTCCCCGCGGGCAGTCTGCCGTTTAACGAACTTCTTAGGGGTCCCAAATATTGTCCTGTCTTGTTCAGTACTAACAACATCTATTTCATTATCATGGCCCCCAAGTGGCAGTCCAGCATTAAAAAATGGATGGATGTGCAACCCAGATGTTCTGGGTTTCCCAGATAGCTCTCCAAGTCGCTGCACGAGTGTCTTCTGCAGGCCATCATTTAGGCCGTCCTGCTTGCGAAAGAAAACCACACCTCGCTGCGACACTAATGTCGTGGATTAGCATAATATGTGAGTGGAACGAGCGTGAAAACCTCTACCTGTGATTGCAAGGTCTCTGAGTAATGCATTTGAATCTGGGGATTCAAGCCATCCTCTAAGGTCGGCGTCAGGAAACTCCCTGCCAATGGTAGGGGTAACGTCGAAAGATGTAAATCGGTCCAAAGCGCCAGAGAGCTGCATCGGCTTCCTGGATGATAGCCCATTCTGAGGTTTAGGCTCTAGTGGGCCTTGGGTTTTTTCTGGACCCAGAGCGGCGTCCATTCTGTCAAGGAAACTAACACGACTAAGTTGAATGTCAATAGTTTATGCTCAGTTGGTCAACTTTATTATATGAATTGTAAGACCCGTCTATGAAGCATATAAGTGTCCGGCTGAGGACAGAAGGAACTTGTGCCTTAGATAACTGGAGGGGCCCAAGCAACTATGCGGGTATAATTCGTATAATTCAATTCTTCCAACTAAAGTTGTGCTGTATTAAATTGGTTGTCTGAATCCTACTTCATGTGACAGTTGCATACCGAAGTTAGGATCCAAATTGAGAAACCTTAGCTGCTTCCGGACATCTAGTTAGCTAACCCAAATCTGACTGAACAAGCTTCATATTGGGTAATTTGGTGGCAATATGGTAACTAGACCTGGACAGGACTATATGTCTCGATAAGTAACTCAGCCGGGCAATAGGTTTCACAGCATTTGACAGGCGTTCACACCTAAATATCACCTCCTTAGCGGTTAACTGGCCTCACAAGGTGAATATGCATGCGTTTCAGTAGAAAGTTATTGGATCAGCGTGTGAAAGCGTAGTCTACAATCCTTAGCTGAGAATATAAACCAAATTTCACTGGAAATACACTGGGTTGTGTCTAATGACTGTTGTCTAGTACTAAAAGCCTTCAGATTGAAGGTATCTACCCTATTTCGTCTCATAGAGGAGTCGGGCTTTCTAAGTTCTTAACTAATGGCGTGAAGCAAAAAGCATCTAATGTCATTAAGGCACAGCCCTTAGCCTGGCTTGAACTTTTCACCCTCTTGTACCTCTCATACTTTGAATAACACTGTCCGAAACACTTAGCAATAGGAGACAAATGCAACATACTTAATCCCTGCTGTCCTTCCTTTTCTTGGCCTCCGAGATGTCAACCATTTCTCTTGTTGCTAATTAAGACCGGCCGTAACAATGTTGGAAAAGGCAAGGACTTCGGCCGATTTGCGGTGCGGAAAGGCGACTCCAAGATGCCATGGAAAGATAAAATATGCCCAGCGATGCATCCGATTGATATATGTTTGCATAGCACCGGTCAGATGTATGTATTCCTCCTTGCTAGCCAGTGTCTCTAGGGCATTCGAATACATCTGGCCAATCTTGAACATATTTTCGAGCCCCAGGTCTGCCATGAACTCGAATAGGTCAAAGTTCTCCACTAGGAACTCCTTCGTGATGCGATTCAGAGTCGGCAGCTGGATATCCTCATACTGGGCGATTTTCAAGAAGCGGCTCATCACATCTCCGCCCATCACCATGAGATACGCCTCCAGGTGGACCAGAACTGTAAAATACTGCTCGCCACTGCCGGCACCGCTATCAATCACCCCCAACGGAGCTTCTGAATCTCTACCGGCTCCTCGAGCCAGACCCGATCGATCTCCTTCTCGATTATGGCTTTAACTTCGAGCCAGTGGCCCATTGATGAGGGAGATGGTGCAGTCGGCAGGTGCTTCTCCGGCCGCTCTAGGCGAGGACAACACTCGCTCAATATGTGCACTTCCATGAGCGTGTGGCGGGGCAGTGCAACGGTCTGCTGATAGACGAGTCTCCCAATTTCCTCCAGCTTGGGCAGATCCTCCTCAAACACCTCGGCGAACTTATTGATCTTAGCGCTTTCTGTGATCTTGCCGTAGGTGATGCAGATGGACTGGCCTGGTGCATTGAGATACACCGCGCCCAGGTGCCGTTGGACCATATAGTTGCGGCCCAGGTGCACGATCCGGGTCGGGGTCCAGAATGTCTCACCAGCGATCACAACGTGGCCCAGCACACTCTTGAGAGGCAACTGAGCTAGAACCTGCTCAACAACATCAGGATTTTCGTCTACGAGCAATTTTGCCCGAAAGGAGAATCCTGGGCCGGGAAGATGGAAGGTAATGCTTGCAGATGATGAGGCCATTGTATCTGGGTCAAGGTGACTGATGCTCTCAGGTTCACTTCATTACCCCGTTTATTTTATATATATATATATATCTATCTATCTGTCTTCAATCTAAGGGAATCAAAATTCAGCCCTCGGCCAATGGTCCTTGTAAAGAACGAGGCCTTCGACTCGTAGTAGGATCGATACACCCATGAACTGCGACGTTACAGTGAGATGGATCTTGAGTACATTAGCTGTTCGCTGGCACAGGTAGATCGTAGGAATGTCGTCTAGAAGATACCTCCCTTCTTGGTCTCCCATTCTAAATGTGACATCATGCGACTCTGCGCTGTATCGCTGATTTCATTTGAAATGATTGATATTGTACTCGGGTTGGCCATAGCTAAGAAGACTTCTCATGGCACACATTTGCGCGTCTATCGGCAAGTGGAGACATTCCACAGGATCTTAACTAGAGTCGTCCGCCCACTTAGCCCGTTTGCAGTGTTGATCTATGAGCCCAGGAGTAGTAGGATGCCCCACAGCAGTCAGATTTCCGATGGCGGATGTTCTGGGGAAATAGCGCAAAGATCTCCACCGCGGCCTATTCATACCCTAGCTGTCAATGCAACCGTCTCCGAGCAGTAGAGTAGCCCATGGCTTCCCCGACATCTCTGTCCCGCATGTCTTTATGGTATAGTATGTCTTGCTGTATTGACTGTTCGGTCTGATCAACGGACAGGATATGCCTTTCGAGGAACTGGTCAGCCAACCAGATCCGAGCCCACCTCCTGCAAGCACCCGGATGCGGAGGTATTATGATAGGAAAGTGGACATGCTGGTACGTGGTGCCCTATGTATATTAGATGACCGCAACTAAACCCGTACATAGAAATGGTCGAAGACAGGCCCAGGTAACGTTGCCTAGTGGTTCTGCATTCCAAATAGCCTCAGCCAACGAGAAATAGACTAGACACTTTTTGAACTAGACAATAATGTTACTCCCTTGCGGCATTTCCGGATGGGCGGGAATTTGAGACAAGTGGACCCAATCACCACCTATTGTCTTGTATAAACGTTAACAGAGAACGGTCCTCCCTCTAATCTCCCTGCGAGAGAAGGCGGACGAGAATGCATCCACAGCTACTCTACTGCAAAGTATTATTTGAAAGAAAGATATATGACGTAACCGCTATGAGTGTGGGTCTCCCAAGAATTTTGGCCTTGGTGAATTCCAAATACCAATAAATATGCGATTGGCCGTCCCCGAAAACTATTGTAACCCTATGTGGCTGCATGAGGGAATCGAAGATCATGGGACCCCTGGGGATGCTAGCAGACTCTCCTTTTCTTCCTTTCTTTATTCTCCCACCTTGACTTTTGTCATCGAGTGCAACTATATTGGGAGTACCTCGTTTAGCGACCCCCCTGAAGTATAACACATGCAGTTTTCCAGCGGAGGAACGATCCATATATCAAGCACATAAAACAGGAAGCACCGTAGCCCTCAAGTACCGTAACCCGCCATTGACTGCATTTGTCTTTTTCTTCGAGGGATCAACACCCCAAAAGAAAGCCAGCGCTCGGCCTCTTCCCAATACTTCCAATTGCCTCTCGATTACATTGCAATGGTTCAACATTCTCGACCATCTGTCCAAGCGGATGACGAATGGTCTCCTCTTAAGTCGGTAATTGTAGGGCGAGCAGGGCAAGCATGCTTTCCCAGCGCTCCCGCGGCTATGATCCAAGCCACGATGCCTTCGCACCACGTCCATCGTTTTAAGCCTCGATGCCCCTTTGATCAGAAAGTGATCGCCAAAGCCGAGGCCGAACTGGATTACTTCGCGGCAATCCTCCAGGCGGAGGGTGTGCGGGTCTACCGACCGCTGGCGGGGGTTAACTGGCTGGATGTCGACGGATACACCGGGGCGATGCCCCGTGATGGGCTTATGAGCGTCCAGAACACGTTGATCGAAGCTTGCTTTGCGTGGCCCTGCCGCAATCGGGAGGTTGAAATCGCTTATGAACCTATCCTAAACGAGCTGGCGCTAGACAGGAGGGTGCAAATCGTTCGCCGCCCACCACACACCTTGGCTGACACGTTGCTGGACGAGGATGGAGGCAAATCCAGCCCATGGGTGATTAACAACAGCCGCCCCGCGTTCGATACCGCGGACTTCATGCGCTTTGGCAAGACCATCCTCGGACAATTGAGCCACGTTACCAACCAAGCCGGCGTAGAGTACGTCCAGCGTAGCCTGCCCACGGGATACAAGATCGAGATCCTCGAGGTCAACGACCCACATGCTATGCATATTGACGCGACGATACTTCCACTTCGTGAAGGGCTGCTCGTATACAACCCGAACAAAGTCACCGAGAGAGCGCTGCGTAAACACGCAGCACTGGCCGATTGGGACTTACGTCCTTACCCCTTTACCCCAAAGGAGCCGGAAGACCCGCCGCTTTATATGACGAGCCCGTGGTTGTGCCTCAATGCCTTGGTGTTGGACGGCAAACGGGTCGTGGTTGAGGCCAGTGACCAGCAGACCGCAAAGTGGTTCGAGTCTCTAGGGATGAAATGCATACCGTGCCCCTTCAGGCACGTCAACAGTATTGGAGGGTCTTTTCATTGTGCCACGGTGGATCTGGTGAGGGACAGTGCTCAATAGCGCTAGGAAAAGTTGTTAATAATCAATCCAGCTTCAATGGCATGTTTTGATCTCCCTTTTTCTCCAGAGGAAACACTTAAAGCATGTTGCCACTATAAAACAGGAATATGGCTGCAGACCCGGAATCTTTAGGCACTTAGCTTAGCTTGGCTGATGAGATAATTCATAAGCGATAAAGTACCCGTAAGAAGGCACCTCAAACCTGAATTTACGTAGGGTAGTCCGGTATAATGACCTGGAATGACGTCTACGTGGTATTGCCAACATCAATTTTCAAGAAAGAGTTTATGTCATACGGTACTCTGCCTCGTAGCTACTGCAACGCCCTTCACAACTCTACTAGGTCTATAACGGGGCGCGCTGGCCTTTCAAAAGCCAATAGCAAAATTCTGCAAGATGTATGGCTATGGCCGCAATTGCACTCCTATCACCGAACTATTACGATCCCATCAGGCGCTCCAATAGCCAGCTTTGATATCAAGCATCGCTGCTCTTACCTGCAGGCTCGCCACCATATCCGATATACGCTTTGGACAATTTCCAGCGCACATACTGTACGTGATTGTGATCAGCTCGAGATCTTGAGAATTAGGTCATGTGATGCGCCCTTTTACATACCTCGCCCGCTTTGAATGGCTCCTTGCAGGGAGGGTTATCCTCGGAGACTTGGTTTTCCAAGACGGAAATAGTACTGTTGTAATCCACGCCAAAGAAGAAAGGTATTGAGTACCGTTCTTCTCCAGACAAGTTGGCCACCCGATGAATGGTGGACTTGAATCTTTTGTTACTCCTACAAAGTCGTTAAGGTGTTTCTAGTCAGAGGCACTGCGGTAGCATCACTTACCAAAAAGAAAAGGTGTCCGATATATTCACTATCAAGGTTCCCGGAATGGGTGGAGCGAGAACCCATTCACCACGGTTGTTTAAAACCTGTAAAGCTGGCACACTGTCCTGTGCCAGGATTGTAAAGCATTCGTAGTCCTAGGGCCATGCACCGCGTTAGAGGTACTATCACCATCACCTATGTGCTGGGCGAGCAGCTCACCGTATGAGCCGCTAACCCCGGTATCTCTTGTCCCTGGACCGGCTGCGGCGGATAGTGCAACATTCTCGACGTCACCCCCGGAAACCTCACCATTGGGTCGAAGAAATCCTCCTTCTGACCCAGCGCCAAAGCGAAGATCCTCATCAACGCTCTCGCAAGCTCAAGGGCCTCGGCAAAATACCGCAGATACGTTACTCGAAAGCCCGGGATGAGGCTCTCCTCTGGCCACTGATTTTCCCCGAGCAGCCCGAAGTCATCGCGAGGAAGCTGATCACCAGGGCCTTTTCGCAGATCTCCGGATAGTTCGTACCCGATGTCGAATGCTTCAGATAGAGCTCCTGGGGGTTTATCCAGAGCGGCTTCTTCAAGGTCGGGGTTGGACGATCTCTCTCCATACAAAGGGCTATAGCCGCGGAAGTTCTGGTATCTTGCCGTGAGACCCTTCTCCCGTGTGAATTGCATCGACCCCTGGAACTTACCTTTGAGTTTCCCAGGTAGACCTTCATCTTTTCTCCTTCCGCGAGGTCGAAGAATCGATGAGCGGCTTCGTAGGTCTTCTTAATCAGCTCTTCTGAAATGCCATGGTTCTGTTTGCAGGCCGAGTTAGATTTTTGTCCAGAACAAAAGTTGGAAAATCGGACGGAAGTGAGTTGCACCTTGATGTAGAAAAATCCCACTTTGGTGCAGGCTTGGTCGATCTCCCGTGCTAATTCCCGCCGCTCTTCCACGTTGGAGCTGTGCAATTTGGAGAGATCAATGATAGGGATAGTCTTGAAATCCACCCCTTGGAGATGTAGGCTTGGTTGTGATGCCGTTGTCACGGTGGAAGACATGGCGAAGGCGTTGATAGCAGGCAATGTTTCCCGGCTCTATTGAGAGACCGTTCTTCCTCTACCTCTGAGATAATATCGTTTTTTCGGGCGTTGCAGTTGCTCACAATAGGCGAGCATCATGAGCCCCCGCCATCTCCCATCAATATATTTATGTTACTATTACCCATTGCGCTGCTGTGAATCCTGACATTTTTTGGATTTGTCATTCCCCAGAGATGTCACTTTAGTTTTCCCCACATCAGTCCGGATGCGTATATGACTACGTATTTCTAATTACGCAGCGTTCTTATTCTAATGAACACTACTACGCTGCACGCCGGATCCGTCTTGCGAGAATACTTGCTGTCGGTGAAGGCACTGCCGTCTGGAAACCTCGACGTCAATTGGTACGGTATACGAGCGTGCCAGCCAGCACATATTTCTTCTGCTGCTGCTTTGCATCTATATCTGTGGTGTGGAAATCTCCTGTCCATTCTCTCCTCAGTTTGACGTCAGGTATCTCACATTCAGGCGTATGACTGAGAGGATACAACTCCTACCAATATGCGTTATCAGCGCTCACCCATAGAGATCGAAGCTCCCGAGGAGGTTGGGCAGCCAATCCTTCATAACCTCAGTGACAGTGCGGTAGGCGACCGCACCCTGGAGGACCTGGGGATACCCACCCCGAGGGATCTGGCGCTGGCGTACAGCAAGCACTTTGGGAGCGACCGCTTCCGCGAACTCATCGCCCAGCGCGCCGGCCTAGCTGCGAGTGACATCCTCGTCGTCGCGGGCGCCTCCGCCGCGCTGTTTATCGTTGCCACTGCCCTTCTCGAGGCTTCGGACCATCTCATCGTCACCCGGCCCAACTATGCCAGCAACATTGAGACCCCGCGTGCCATTGGTTGCAAGATAACCTATATCGATCTAGAGTTCGACCAGGGGTTCCGGGTAGATATTAAGCGCATCGCGGCGGCCATTCAGCCAAGGACGAAGCTGATCAGCCTCACCACCCCGAACAATCCGACCGGGACCTGCATGTCCGCGGAGGAGCTGAAGCAGATCGCGGACCTGGCTCAGCAACACGGCTGCTACGTTCTCGTCGATGAGACGTACGCGGAGCTCACGTATCTCGACCGTCTGCCGGGGTGCGCCTCGCTAGGCCCCCACGTTATCGGTGTCGGCTCTATGTCCAAGGCCTTTGGCGTCCCGGGCATCCGTGTTGGCTGGATCTCCACGAAGAACAGGCAGCTACAGGAAACTTTCCTCGCCGCCAAGGAACAGATCAATATCACCGTGAGTGTTCTAGATGAGTACGTGGCGGAGCAAATTCTAGAGCGCTGCGATACAATACTCCCCCTGATTATCAAGGAGATGGAACGTCGCCGGGACCTGGTGCACGCTTGGATCCAGTCTGAGGAACTCGTGGAGTGGGTGTACCCAGGCGGTGGCGTCATGGGCTTTGTACGGATGGCGCGAGAGCCGCCGGGAGGGACGGCAGCGTTTTATGATCGTTTACTGACAGAGCATCAAACCTACGTCGGACCGGGACGGTGGTTTGAGCGGCCGGATACGCACTTTCGATTAGGGTACGGTTGGTCAACGGCAGATAGCCTTGTAAAGGGGTTGGCCGCCATCTCCAAGGCGTTACGTGGTTGATCTTCGGCCGTGAATGTGCAGCTGATTCTTCATACGGATTGCAAAGAAGGCAATCGGGTGTCTTTGTTTTATTAAAAAGTCAATGACGTTTTAAATAACAAGACCAGATTACGGACCAAACGAATAAAAAATCCTGCTGGTGAGGGTTTGCTATTGAAGATATGTAACCTAGACCATCTGCAATAATGAACCTCAGCTCTGTCAATTCAGCACAGGCAAAGGTCGACAATAAAACTCTCCCTTGAGGCCACTCTTAACCCCATCCCGGGCAGCAGCCTGCTTCATCCATACACCCGTGTGTGCGCCTGCAGGGACAACTTCGTAGCGCAGGAACAGCGCCGCCAGCAGGAGTTTGATCTCCATGCTTGCCATTGCCTTCCCGAGGCATACCCGCGCTCCATATCCAAATGGTATGACAGAAGCATTGAGCTGGGCCAGCGTGGCCTGGTCCGCCTCCAGCCAGCGCGAGGGACGGAATTTGGCCGCGTCGGGGAAAATGCTAGGATCGCTGTGAACTGCGCCAATCGAGGCGGCAACCACCGCCTATGCAGATAAAAAGAAGCGTCAGTGAGTGTCACACCCATACTGTTGATGAGGGAAACAGTACCCTTTCGGGGAGATATATGTTCGACACGATGCGCCCACCAGCGGGGACGACGCGTTCGGCACGCCCGCCACTAGCCGGCTTCAGTCGATACACTTCCTTAAGGCATGCATCAAGGATGGGAGCATGGTCGATGTCGTGAAAGCTAGGCAGACCGTCCGACTGCGTTGGCAGTGCCAGAAGTTCTGTTCGGAGCTTCTGCTGCCATTCAGGGTGGATGCTCACGTACCAAGTTACATATGTGATCGTCGCCGCAACCGATGCCTCAGCTGCATTGATGTTGTCCAGCGCTTCCGCAGCAATATACTGCACCAGGCTGTGGACGTGGCAGTCGTAGGCTTCCTCAAGAGCGCTTGGTCCGAGATTTAGCGAAAGCTTTCTCGCCAAATAGGCGACTAGGGAGTCAAACTCGACTACATTGCGGTCGTGTAGCGTGCGCAGCGTCCGGTCATGCACCCACTGGGCCAGGCGGCCTTCCGCCTCGAATTGGCCTGTATCCCCGTTATAGAAACGAGCAACGAGCTTGGCAATTGGGATCACCCACGGAAAGCGCTGGCGAATGGGGGACCACACTTGCGACCGCTTAAGATCTCGCAGGATCCCCTGCTCTTCGCACGGCAGCTTTGTAGTTTTAGATGCGTATAGGGGGCCGAAGACAAGTGCCGTGATATTGTCAAATGCGTACCAGTCGGCAAGTGAGTAGAAGTCGACGGCTTTTCCACCTGAACATCTCCGATCAATCTGGCTTAAGACAGCAAACACATGGTCGTGGATGAATGCCTCCATGGCAGGTTGCCCGTAGATGTTTGAGCCCTGGTAGAACGCGGAGACGACAGCTCTCTTGCGTTTGTGGTCCGCAAAGGAGAGGGTCGTGAAGACCGACCGACTGTCGAATGCGACGAACTGGTTAAAAAAGGCACTCTTGTCAGCGCGCCCCGCCGAGTTATAGATCTCGCGAATAGCGGCCAATGAAGCAATAGACACCTGAGTCGGTGCAATGCAGACGACTGAACCGTATTGTTGGTGCCACGCAAGGATCTGCTGGCTGCGCTGCCCTCGTATTTCAGCAAGTGCAATCTTGACACCCAGATACTTATTAAGCCACGGCCCAGGAACATGGCGCAGTGGTGAGGCCCATAAAAACCAGGTGAGAATGCAGCATAGAGTTATTGTGATCGCAGTCCCTGTCAGGATGGGAACCAGGTTATTGCCTTGGATCCAACTTGCCAGCATGCTGGGGGGCTTGGATACAATGAGTGAGCTACTTAAATTTCATTTGGATGGATGAGGCTCTCTGTAGCGACCGAAGATTGTCGCCAACTGATAGCGATGATTTGGTAGTTTTCTGATCTTATGCGCACATCGTTCCGGATGCGGACGTAGCAGAAGGGGGAAAGTATACTCTTATTTTTTCTATCGCGGCGCCATATTATGCTGGCCCACTTGCTGGGAATAACATAGTATTGCAGGGTTATTACAATACTGAAGTCTAATATTGAAGACGCTACAGACATGCACTACAGTACCGTTGCTGCCTACCTACAAGGCCGCTCGTCTGACAATTGTACCATCCCAACGAGTTAGTGGAACAGCTGAGTAATAATGAATCCAGTACTGCTAGACTGAAAAGGGTTCCATGACGATGTACGACTCGGTCTAGGGGTTACATATCGTACTTGTGGTGGTATAATATTTAACACGTAATGCGGCTAGAGGTAAATAAGTGCCGCCCAGATCGACAAGAGGAGAGAGAGGAACATCTAAGAGACTCATGAGAGTTGTATGATATACCATGAGCAACATAGTCTCAATACACCTTGGGAAAGTAAATGCAGCAGCCATTTCGTGGGGCCCTGTCTTTCGTCTATGACGTTGATTTCAGTCCCTGGTTCTGCTTCTGACCCTAAGAGTTCGATTCAAGCGATGTCATCACGAGTGGTTCCACCAGCGCCGGAAATAGACTGATATTGGGAAGGGAATTGTTCGTTTTATATATATATATATATTTCCTCTAGTGTTCTCTGTTTCGGATATTCGGGAAGATTTAGTTTACAACAGTAAATGATACACTACCATTTGAACAGAAGGTCCACCAGGTCCAACGATCATTTGTCGATCGAGGGACAAGTATTACATCTGCAACGCAGGGGTTTTGTGCACGGAAACGCATTACTCTTAGAACCCTGAAGAATGGATAATCGGAATGTAGCCTATTGCAATGCTATGTGGAAAGGATGTTTTGACATCATGATTGGTCGTAGTTCTGGAGGCCAGGGCATAGTGATGAATCTCATATGACTATCCCGTCTACATCCTCTCTTCGGCGAGCATCGCGAGCATCCGGTGCTACAGATGGTGTTATTGTAACGGTGGTCTCTCCGATGGCGTGTCCTGCTCGACCACCATCGGCCTTGCCCATGTCCCCTGCGACAATTTGGTCTCAGCAGCAAATGCTCCTGCTGTCTCAATATTTTATCAATTAAAACATAAATACTATTAAGGTTTAAATTATTATTAGAAAATAAGATATCGGGAGGCCCTAACTAGTGGCTATGATATGTGTACAACAAGTGATCTCCTTTCGATCTAAGGCATTGTCCACAATGCTTTCCAGGAGCTTTGAGAATGAGATCCCATTCTCTCGCGCGATTTCAGGATATATATCGAGCCGCCCACCCAAAGGCCAGGGATTGGATTGATCTGGAAAGGAGTAATGTCAACATGAGGTTCATACAGTGTTTCGCGTGCGTTGTTGCTCTTACCTCCAGTACATGAGGTTTGGATTCTCCATCTAACCGGATGTCTACTCTGCCACCGTCTCGACAGCCCAAGGCATTCCAGGCTCGTAGGCTAATCTCGCAGACCTTCTTGACTCCTGGATGGTTAATATCCACTATGACTTTTTCTGCAAGTCCATCTATAACATTGCTTCTTCCGTGTAGGTGAAAATCAATTAATTGGTGAGAACTTTGGGTGTTGGCTTGCTTCCAGGTAAAGGTTGCCATCCCAATCACCCTTGCCTGGCATCCAGTCCCTAGTATTCCGACGGTGAACTCCTGCCCCGGCAAAAAGGTCTCAACAAGGATATCTCGTTGAGGAAACTTCTGTCGTAAGACCTTGATTGCACTCTCCAGCTCCTCCGGGGTTTGGTCTCTATTAGAAGGGACGACACCTTTCGAGAAAGCTTCGATATTGGGCTTGACAAACCATGGATATGACGACAAGGATTTAGCATGGTGTGAATTTTTCAATTGCCTCTTGTCCTGGAAACTGACTTAATGCCGCTTCCTCATCCCGAACAACGGCAAATGGTGCAGTGGAAATTTCGTAGTGTTCAAGCATGATCTTAAACCAAACTTAGAGTCAGTCACTTGATGGAGACAAGATATTTTTTCTTCTGTTTGGTAGTACATAAGTTAGCCTTTGATTTATCCTGACATAACGCCAATGTTCCGGCATCGGAAAAGGTGGATGTAATCTGGTATGCTTCCAATATCCCTGGTACTTGCGCATCATTAGCTTTTCCATGCAACCCATGTGATATGTTGAAAGCTAAATCCCACTCTCTGTATTTTCCCGTTACAATGCTCTTAAGGAGAGATTCCATGCCGGGGACTTGAATTTCTTCGTGTCCGAGGCTTTCAAGAGTCGATGTGATGGCCACGGCCTCATTCTCATGTGCCATCCTAATAATTCCATCTTCAGGACCAAACAGTTCAAGATGTACAAAGGCAATTCTGAGATTTCCTGCTGTCATCTTGGCTGGGAATGAGGCTTCTCGTATAATCCTTGATACCTTAGTTTATGATAAGAATTAGTATACGGTAGTGGAGAGCAGTCCAAAGTGTGGCGTTTATATGTGGATTTGGCAGCCCTGAAGAGCTGGATGGAGGAATTCCACATCTTTACTTTTAGAACTCCTAAAACGCGCGCCACTAAGGTATTCTAATTACTATATTATAGGGCATACTAGAACTAGATGCCCTACACACCATACTGGCTAGATCTAATGAAAATATATTATTTTGGTTGATTTGGAGAGCTTCAGGATTCAAACGCGTTGAAATTCGATGAGGGGTGGACCGCTTGCCCCGGAATTTCCGTTATACTCTTAACTGGCTGTCATACCCTGCTAGTAAGGTAGGACAGTAGTCGTTAGAATCCTGGCAGCAGTACGTCTGGCTAATATATAATGTTATAGTGTTGACTGTCTAGGCACTAATCGGATGGTATGCACATCAACAGCGGTCTAGGGGGAGCATGTACAGTGCATCATTACAGGTTAACCGGATGAGCTGACCAGGTAACACCAATGATTCATCTTGTTATTGTCTGCTGCGCAATTTTGTACGACACAAAATGCAAGGAGCAAGGTCATAGCTGGACCTCCAAGGCGTCCATGCGCGGCCGGCTTTGCACCCCACCGCCATTCCCCAGCCTCTCAGCTCTTATTGGTCGTTCGCGTGCATTGACCCCGCAGGTACGTGGCATTTTAGCATTGTTTCCTTCTATGACGCGACCCTCACCACTCCGGCGTGGCCGGAGTGGTGAGGGTCGCGTCTGGCACGGATAGTATCAAAACACACAAGGGCGGTGCAGAGTCAGGAATTGTTGAAGGCTCTATACTTAATAGAGGAGATCTCTTGTGATGCACTCTAATTATTTTATTGTAATAGACCCCGCTCCGAGACCCGTATTTATATGAGTCTTGTGTAACGCTTCTATCTGTCCTACCTAGTCATGGAGTTGTTATGTGACATGTCAGACTCCTCTCCGTCACAAATTCTGCATAAAACTGGAAGCCTCCCGTTCGATTGCCAAGGATCAGTCTTTCCCCACTGTCAGACAGAGATCTAGCTTGCCAATCTGGTTGGATACTCTAACCTACACCAACTGCGTTAGTTTTCATGGTATTCCTGTGCGGTGTCCCTATCAATTCCCAACCCAGAGGACCTTTACCTACTCTGAGGTTGCCTTTCTGGAGTTCTCTGTTCTCAGACACGCCGCACGCCTGAAGTTGTGGAATCATCATGTTCCCACCAGCATCCAAGACGCTCGCTGTCCTCGGGCTTCTATCTCAGATTCCGTTCGTCCAGTGCAAGGATAACACCATCATCCGCGATGTCGCTATCATAGGCGGTGGCGCATCGGGCACATTCTCCGCAGTCAGGCTGCGCGACCAAGGCAAATCCATCGTTCTCATAGAGAAAGAGAGCATCCTCGGCGGCCATACCAATACATATCAAGATCCCGTCACTAAGGTCACGGTTGACTACGGCGTGGTAGTCTTCCACAATCAACAAATTGTCAAGGACTATTTCAACCGGCTGAATGTATCTTGGACAATTGCATCGTCAGACTTTGGTGCAGCGGCACCAGTCTACTTGGATGCCGACACGGCCGAACTAGTAAACTATACCAGTCCCGATCTTCGGGCCGGGCTGGTCGCGTATGCGGCACATCTGGCTCAATATGCACAGCTCGAGCTCGGATTCTTCCTTCCGGACCCTGTTCCAGAGGACCTGCTGCTTCCTTTCGGAGAATTTCTCGCTAAATACCCGGACATTGACGATGCGGTCTTGACGATATTCAGGTTCGGACAGGGACTGGGCGATTTCCTTGCACAGCCCACGCTGTACGTGTTCAAGAATTTTGGTCTGGATATTATCCAAGATATCTCTGCTGGATTCCTGGTCACGACGAGTCAGGATAATCACAAGATCTACGACCAGGCCGCCACCCTCCTAGGGTCAGACGTATTGCTGAGTAGCTGCGTTGTTTCGACACATCACCGAGACGACAGCGGAGTCCAGCTGGAGGTGCAAACACCATCTGGGTCCCGGATCGTGAAAGCCAAGAAACTTTTGATCGCTATCCCTCAGAAACTCGACAATATGCGTCCCTTCGATCTGGATGATCACGAGGCCGGGCTCTTCGGCGAATTCCTGAACACGGGGTATTACACGAGCTTGGTGACGAACACCGGCTTACCAACGAACTTCAGCTCATTCTCCGTCGGCGCTGATACTCCATACAACATCCCCAAGCTACCAGGTATCTACCAGGTGACATCGACAGCGATAGAAGGCATCTTCGATATCAAATACGGCAGTCCTTACGGTTTACCGGCCGGTTACGTGCGAAAGGAGATCTTGGAGTACGTCAAGAAATTGCAGGACAACGGGTTCGCGGAGAAAGTACATGGTGAGCCAGAGTTTGTGCGGTTTAACAGCCATACTCCGTTCGAGTTGACGGTGCCGCCGGAGCAAATTGCGAATGGGTTTTATAGGGAGTTGTATGGGTTGCAGGGGCATCGAAATACGTGGTATACAGGCGCGGCATTCCATACGCAGGATTCGTCGATGTTGTGGAATTTCACGGAGTCTTATGTGCTGCCTGCCTTGTTGAAATAGCTCTGATAGGTAGGTATGTGGGGCGATCGGATGTAGACCAGGTTTATGAATAGTGTCACGATGCGAGCTATGTTGCATTGCATCAATTGGGCACATTGGCGGTTCAAAAGTATGAAACTAGAGACCAGCATACATACGGTCCAGCCATCTGAGATATACTTGCAAATCTTGGCCACGGCGCGCGAATGCGACATTCCACAACCTTCGATCGATTAAGGTGGTCACCAATAGCAGCGACTCTGTGTCCATCGCCATCTGGACTATGACAATCAAAGCCCCACAAGCGTGGCGATGAACGCTCACACTGGGATTGATCAGTCTTCCGACAATGCAGAATCGAAATCCTTATTCAGGGGGGAAATTGTGAGTATCGTGGTTGGCATTCTAGTTGGTGTGGCGCTTCTTGCAGTCTCTGGGTGGGTATTGTTTGATTGGCGCCTGTAAACGCGCTCAAATACCGAGTCCCCAGCAGTCGCCAATGATGCCAGCGCTCAAGGAAAGCTTAAGCTAGTGGAACCTTTTCAGAGCGACCACAAGGACTTTCGGACCACAATACAACCCTAATCGAAGGCCCGTGGAACTTGTTGGGCGTGATGGATTAGTGGAAATGAGTGACACTCATTGGATGCGGAGTTGGACAATTGAAACAGGTCTTGGGCGTACACGACACGAGCTCGCATCAAATGCGAAATTGTTTCGGCCCTTGACAGGTGAAGTATTTGTATATTTGAAATGTTGTCAGAGCTGAAGCAAGGGAAACCGGCCAGTTCTATTTGATATTAGAGAATGGTTCTCAGTATCCATTGCTGGTTCCTTGGGTAGGGCGGGATCGAGGAGTACTACCTTGGCATCCTTCGTAGTATATAACAGTTTCGAAAACATTACCGTTTGGTTCTTACTGTTTGGTTCTCACCGTTGGTAGCGTGATTATCCTGATGAAGTTTTGCTGCGTTCCGGGCTGCTGTCGAGGGGTACATCATTTACTTTCGACATCCCGATGTAGAACAGTTCGACAAAGCTAACTTAGAAACCACTAGCAGAGTTATAAGGATATATAGTATTAGATGGGTTTAAGGAGTAAAATAGCGCTATTTTAGTAACAGACCAGCCCCTTCCAAGTTCCAGAGCCTCCTATACATACTTAAGGCCTATCAAATCCCTGTATTAGATGAATTCTTCTCAAACCGGAGGAGGGGTACTATAACAGGCCAGAGCCAGATGCTAATCACATATGTCACATGAATGCCTCCAGCCCTCCATACTTAGCCTCCCAGGAGGACCTATGTGTTTACTTTTCCTCAAGCTTTCAATAGACAGATTGTCAGCCACACCCAATCGAATCAATTGAGTCTGAGCCCTTCACAACATGCACCTAATAGTTCAACCCATATCCATATGGATTAGGCAGGTTCAACCCATATCTGCATACCATCCAAATAACAGTCTATCTACAAAGCTGGATCATGGGAAACAGGCGCCGTTCGATGAAGTTCGCTAGATGTCCTCAACCGTTTCCGCGGAGTATACAATACCAACCCGTCAGCCTGCTGTGGCTGTTTTTTTGACCGCGTCCGTAGATGCCACTGACGCTGTAAACCAACTAAAAGGTCTTTTGCTCTCTGGGCGCTTTTCCAGGAGAGAGTGAACTCATCCAAGGCTCTGAAACATGTCGTTAGATACAGTGAGATATTGCCTTGAGAGTGGATGGTGTAATTCGAGACGGCGGCAAAGAGGAGGAATAGGATGGCGGAGGACGTGATGGAAACTGCTTGTACATTGATTCGACGCAGTGTGTAGCGAGACTCATACATATTGAGGACCTTGGAGATTGCGATGGCGGATTGGATGCACATTTCGCGGGCGTGCGTGTATCCGGGTCCTCTTGGTGGTTGCGGTTGTAGTTGACTTTTTGATATCCATGGTCTGTGGGCGTAGATTATGTTCTGGTGGTATTGCATGCTTTGGTGCCAGTTAGATTGGAGGAAAGAGAGATGTGGCAAGAAAACAAGTTACGTACTGGAGAAGCAGCACATGCGGAGGGTATGGGGAGGTGACGTCGTCAAGATCAATCTGTAAAATAGGCGGAAGGGTAGCTTTCCACTTGTGGAGCTCGGCGACAATCTTCACATTGAGCTCTTGAAGAGTCTCTTTTGAGATACTGGAGGTACCGTATCTGTTGGAAATGTCAGTCGGGGCCGGACGTGATATTGGCAGAGATTCTTACAGGATATACCCGCATGGAGCCATCAGCTCGCAGAGACAAACTAGTTGTTGGCTGATTGCGTCTTTGATGTCCAGTAAGCCAGATTCGTGGCTGGCAGAAGACGACGGCTCGGAAGGTGTCCATCCGCAATGCCCTCTGGAACCTGCTTTTTGACGGGGCTTTTCAACCGTCACATCCTCCATGCTGGTGCGGAAGGGTCTACCTAGGTGGAATCCTAATTGGCTACCAAATGGTCAGGAAAACTACGTACTCATAACACATGTAGTGGGAGGGTATGACAAACTGGTCAACAATGTATGCGGTCCAGAAAACAGTCCTGCGAAGGTCTGCATGGGCAGCTGAGATTATCCCTGCAGTCACGTAGCTAGACATGTCAAGGTGCAAAGCAAGATCGAATGACAGCCTCAACGCCGATCCTTAGGTCAGGCAGCAAGTAAGTTTTCTTGAGTGAAATTATCGAGGTTCCCATGTGGACTTACCGCTATAAAGCCACCCTCTTGCATCTTTTCCGTTTCCAATCTCATGGCTGCTCAAGATGACCATTGCTTGAATGGTTGCAACACAAGGAGAATCTAATTCTGTTTCAAGTATTGACTTGGCGCGATCGGCAAAAAACTCAACAAGCGTCTTTGGGAACGTGATAACAGTTGGATGGTATCGAGATTCAAAAGCGCTACCAAGCGCACACCTTGTTGCAATTGTCAGGGTGGGTGCTTCAGAGAGCCTTGGCAATAGAAATGACTCACATTGCATTCCGCAGTGCATCTGAATAGAAAGGAGTCTCTTCCATGTTTTTCCACTTTTCTTTTGCTTCTTCGTAAATATGTCGATCAACGACATGGAATGATGGGTCCTGCCAGGTGAAGTATAGATCGAGCAGATGATCTTCTACTTCCGCAGGAATTTCTTCCTCTGACCAGTAATGATCGGTGGGGCTCGCCTGGTTGGGTTCATAACTGTCTGAGGATGCCATTTCCCTCAAATTAAAGGTTGAGGTCGGGCCATAAAAGCGTGTTTTCCCTCCAGGGCCAATTTTCAACGTACCAACCCGGTCGGAGATCTCATCAACCAGGCCTTCAATGTCGGACGTGCTGGCCGGTTCCTTGAGAAGGGTAGAGCTACTTTCGCTATAAACAGTTTCGATAGATTCTGCCTGGACCGTTGGTGGTATAGCAAGTCCATCATTGGGCGAAGAGCCCAAGATAAATTGTTGTTGCTGCATGTCGGATGCAGAGGGCGTAATGTGTGTACCGAAGTCTAGGTCAAAAAGCCAGGCGTCGAATATACTTCCCGGGCTGTCTTCTCTCAAGAGACTCAGGACCGACTGATCACCTTCAAATGCAATGAGCGAAGAGTCATCATGTTGTGCAATTGACGACAACGCCGAATCCGGTAAACAGTGCCCTTGCTCAGTTAAGGGCCGACTGGTAGCATCTTGTTGATCCAAGTTCCTGCCCCCGAAGCCCTTTAAAGAGACATGAAATGGGGCCATCGTAGAAGTAGGTAAAGAATACTCATTATCCTTGACCGTTCTTGGCGGCTTCATGGTTGCATTATTCGGAGGTGGTATTGGGCTGACGGCTTGCTTTGTCATTCCAAGGGTGTCAAGGATTTTTTGCAGGGTAGCATCCTTATCATCAGCCATTTTCGGGGCTGAAGGCCATTTTCATGGATAAATCGACACAGTTGATCGACTCTGCAGGTCAGCAGCTCTACTGCGACTCGAAGAGGTAACCTATCATCACGGTCAAGTCTTAGTCTCAAGATGGCCCATCACGATCGTACGGTTAGTATGATTATCTCACTTTCTCTTATCAAAAGCTTGATAGCGACATTCTTTGTTTTTGCTTGCGCATTGAGAGCAAGATGGTAGTTTGCCATCACACTGTTATTCTTTGATTTAATTTAGCAAAGAGTAAAAAGTTGTGGCAGAAATACCTTCACTTTCCTCTCCCGACATGAGATGCATGCCATGGTGGCATGTTGTCGCTTCACATACTGTTTCATAGAGCTCATTATTGTGCCACACCCTGTCAAGATGGAAACACCAAGAGCAGAATGCAAAAGAGACTCAAAAATCTGGGGTATGCAGACTACCCCCGCAATGGTGGTCGTAGATTGTGGAGTTCAGCAGTTCACCTGTTCTGCAGATCCAATCGGTCATAAACCCGGCTCGGCTTAGTGTAGCAATGACTTTCGGTGAATGGATTCCGGGGAAGTCTCTCTACAGATTGGATTGCTTTCATATTATTACATCTCACCGGGCTAATACAAACCCCATATAAATCAACCAGTCGGGCATTGCCTGGATGGAGTTTGAGTTGGACCTGCTATCTTGCTCATTCTCATGACTGATACCACCCCGTCATCATTTTACCGTTTTTACGATGTTCCTACAGGACGCGCAGGGAAAAGCGCTTCAGCATGGAATTACTGCCGCCTGCGGTGCTGGGTTTCTTCTCTTCGGCTATGACCAAGGTGTTTTTGGTGGCCTCCTGGACAATGAACCCTTCCTGAGGACCTTTGGCTTCCCGGGGGCTGCGATCCAAGGTCAGATCGTGGCAACATATGACATCGGCTGCATTACTGGAACACTCGTATCCATGTATGTCGGTGACAAATTGGGTCGCAGAAGATGCATTCTCATCGGCTGCGTGATTTTGATCATCGGTGCAATCCTCCAGACGGCTTCATATTCTCTCGCGCAGATGATTGTCGGCCGTGTGGTTGCGGGAATCGGAAACGGAATGAATACCATCGCTATACCTATCTGGCAGACAGAAACTGCGCGGCCGAAAGATCGGGGTAAACTCATTGTTTTCCAGCTGGTCACGAATATTTTTGGCATTGCGATCACAAATGTAAGTACCCATCAGCCTTAACGACCAAACCGAATTGCTCACTAGATGCAGTGGATGAACTATGGCTTTACCTTCATTCCGCACTCAGATGTGAGCTGGCGTTTTCCTCTGGCATTCCAGTGTTTCTTTGCCATCATTACCATTGCCTTAGTCCATGTCACACCGGAGTCGCCTCGGTGGCTTATTATGAAGAATCGCGTCAGTGAGGCACAAAATATCCTCGCTAGGCTGTTATCAAAACCGGATAATGATCCTTCTGTTACCAGTGAGATTCGGAATTTAGTTGCTGCTGTTCATCACGAGGCTGAAGTGCAGGAGTCGGCGGCCCTGAAAGAAATTCTCAGTTGGAATAGTAAGCAGCAAACACTTCGCCGTATGCTTCTGGGAGCTGGTACCGCATTCTTCCAACAGATGGGAGGTACCAACGTCATTGCATATTACCTCCCCGTGGTCCTTACACGATCAGTTGGTCTCAGCAGTCGCATGGCTTTGATCTTGTCCGCCGTGGACTCCATGTCGCTCATGTTCTGGGGCTCAATTGCAGCTCTCTTGATCGACCGTGTTGGGCGAAAGAGGCTGATGCTCATGGGCGTGGCTGCCAGTAGCGTTTGTTTTGCTCTTGTTGCTGTGGGTTTGCGATATGGCGGACCAGACAACAAGGGGATGTCGATCATGGCTGTGGTTTTCATTTTCGTCTACTACGTCTTCTACGGAATGTCGCTGCTCTCGATTCCCTATATATACCCTGCCGAGATCAATTCTCAGAGAATGCGCAACATCGGCACATCTTTCGCCACCACAGTCAATTGGCTTTTCGTCTACCTTGTTGTTGTGGTCACCCCTACCGCCATCCAAAATATCCAGTGGCGGTATTATATGCTCTACGCCATTTTCAACTTTTGCTTTATCCCACTCATTTACTACTTCTACATTGAGACTGCGACATTATCTCTTGAACAAGTTGATCGGCTCTTTGAAATCAAGCACAATGCAGGAAAAGACATGAGTTGGGCAGACGCAACACGGATCGCTCGTACTGAGAGTGATGATTTGCAGACGTGTGTGGAGAAGGATGCCGTTATTAATGCAGAGCACTGCGAAATTGCTCCCTGAACAGACATGGCAAAATCCAAATAGTCCGAGAGGGATACGGAGTGGGTCGGTTTGGAAACATTTACTTTGAACCTCTATGTGCATCCAGCTAGTGAGAAGTACATAGCTCTGCCAATTGTCCTTTCATTTTGATTTCTACTTACCTCGGATCCGTTTTCCCGTCAACTGGTATAATTCAGGATTTTGGGAGTCAGGTAGTCATGACCAGACTATTCGTAGCATTCCGTATACTCACATCGGACATTGAAATCCGAAGCGTTAGCCAAAGGTCCCACATCAGAACTACACAGGAAAAATGGGCTTCGTTATGTATATAGCCTTGACCCCCGTCCTCACCTTTTCTATGTCTCCTGAAGCTCTTGAGCATCTTGTTTCTTCCTTGATATCCCACGTTCGCAATAATGGTCGCCCAAAATCTTCGTGTCGGTATTGCAGGCCTTGGCCGTATGGGTAGGCATTCCCACCCCGTGGTATTGACAGTATATCTTACCGTAAACAGGCAAGCGACATGCCATCAACTTCCATGAGCTCACTGCGCGCGCAAACGTGGTAGCTGCCAGTACTCCCGATCATAATGAGCGTCAATGGGCAGCGGAGAACCTTCAAGGGGTGCAAATCTTCCAGGACTTCGATGAAATGCTTGAAAAAGCTGATCTGGAAGCTGTTGTGATTGCGAGTATCACTGCTGTGCATGCAGAGCAAGCTCTGAAAGCAATTAGGAAAGGCCTTCATGTTCTCTGTGAGAAGCCATTGAGCATTGATGCTGAAGTGGTATGTTGATTTGCCACTTATCCTTGTGAAGACTAGATGCTGACGAGCATTACTACTGCATAGGCCCAATCTGTGGTCTCCGCATACGAGCAGTCCCTCAAAACATACCCGCAGCAAAAAGTGATGTGTGCCTTCTCTCGTCGTTTCGATGCGTCATACCGCGAAGCCCATAAGAGAGTCAACAAGGGCGAATTTGGATCACCGGTGCTTTTCCGATCTCAAACAGCAGATCTGTATGATCCATCAGGATTCTTCGTCGAGTACGCGAAGACAAGTGGTGGTATTTTCGTGGACTGTTCCATTCACGATATCGACCTCATGCTTTGGTTCCTGGGAGAGAATCGCAAGATCAAGAGCTTGCAGGCAATTGGTGTCTGTGCCGTTCATCTGGGGCTAGAGGCGACCAACGACCGGGATAATGCAATTGCGACTGTGGAGTTTGAGGGTGGAAAGATAGCGGCTTTGTATTGTTCGCGTATGATGGCGGCTGGGCAGGAGGACACCTCAGAAATCATCTGTGAGAAAGGTTCTGTGAGGGTGAATATGCAAGGGAGAAAGAATCATGTTGAAATTCATGACTCACAAGGGGCCAGACGTGAACTGCCACAGCATTATTATGAGAGGTTCCGGGAAGCATTTATCACTGAGGCCTATGAGTTCACAGCTTGTTGCCTGGATAACACCCCACCTCCAATAAGCTTGCAAAGCTCCGTCAAAGCGGTTTCTATTGGGCAAGCATTGCAGCGAAGTCTTATTACCGGCGAGAAGATTTACTTTGATGGAAGAACCATCAAAAACTAGATTGTACGTCTGACTATTCAGTATCGACTTGTCCTATGGTTTTCATAAGGTGCACAAAGAAGTTGTGCTTCTTAGTCAAGATAATTATGCCACTTCCTATATTCCACTCCGAGAACAAATACTATGTAGACTTTTATGTAGATCCGAAGCAGCTTCGTGACGTGGGTGTTGGAAAGCCGATTAAAGCTTTTCAACATGTTAGGTCTCCGAGCACCAATCAATACAATATCATGATTAATGACTATGAGCACCCCGCATTCCGGTGCTATCTCCTATTGGGCCCCATAGCTGGGGAGAATTGCGGCGGAAGTGCATAGGAGTATACAGGCCAATAGAATATATTCATTTCCCATCATGACAACATTGCAGCTGCACAGGAATATAATTTCCGACAGCGCCCGCCGTACTTTCTAATGGTAAAGCTTAGATGAGCAGATATCACATGTGAGTCAAATCTTCATGATGACATCTCGTCACTTCATCTCACCTAACAGACTACTACTGAATAGCCGAGTGCCATATTGTGAGTGCAAGTCAAGTATCCCTGCCTAGAAGCCGATGTATTTGTCAAATACTGGCCAAGATGAAGGGATCTCAGAGACAAGTCTCTCTGCTGTAGCTCTTTCAATCATATGAGTGTTCTCTTGAAAACTATAGAAACAGGTCAGGAACATCGGGCAGTCCCCTCTACTGTATCCTGCCTGGCTTGATTTTCGAATGCTATATGAGAGCCAGAATCACCAAAGAGTATCATTTTTGACTCTTACTTCTATGAAAACGAACAGCATACTGCCCAGAAGTTAAAATGGTCCTAGGTTCTAATGAGCGAACTAAGAGCATGAATTGGGATGCTGTGTTTGCTATTCGAGCGGCAGTATTGCCCCTGTTTCATTCTTAGAGGAGCAGTTTTCCTCAATACTCTGCATCTATGTTATTCACATATAAACACTGGAAATCTAGAGGGAAATCCGTGGAGAGGAGCTATCACCATCTCAGAACATTTGTTGGGAAATACTCATCAATGAGTTCAAGATAGTAAGGCTAGAATCACGTTAGCACACAGCTGTGAAAGGTGCTATTATTTAGAAATGATTCTCAC